TCTAAGCCTGGTTCTGCTGGACGTTTCTTCTTGTTAAAAGGGAGTTTTTCCTTCCCGCTGTCGCCAAAGTGCTTGCTCATAGGGGGGTCATTTGATTGTTTTTTTTTCTTTTCTGTATGTATTATTGTAGGGTCTACCTTACAATATAAAGCACCTTGAGGCAGCTGGTGCTTTTGATTTGGCACTGTATAAATATAATTTAATTTAACTGAATTGATTTGAGCTACAGCTGGAGTCCACTACTTGACTTGATGAATTTTAGTGTTTCAGTGTGCAGAAGACACCCATACATTTTTTTTTCTGTCATGTAGAGTCAGCATGGACAAGAAAAAGCCAGAGCTTCTCAATTTACTTAATGCAGCAAAACTGATGAGGCAAAAACATTTTGTCTTCCTCCACTCCTTCCTCCTGACTGTAAGTACAATATTTACCATCACTTGTATTTTGAGAATGGTTTACTGTGTCAGCAGTAAACCCTTTGTCCGGGATCTGTTCTATGGTTGCTAAAGTTACTGCTTGACTATTAACCATGGTAACGGTATCTGATATCATTCTTCTTGAATATCCTTTGATAGAGTATTAGATTACATTTCGTAGGTAAATATCCCCAACTATATAAAGCCTTGTGTGTCCCCTGCAGTCTCAAATGAGCATGAGAGACTCACAACTAATATTACATCAAGATTCAACAGATTCATCTGAATTTAGCTCTGCACTTAGGTTATAAATTAAACAAAAAATAAATTTTCCCTTTTAAATGAAGAGATCTGATTTGACTGAATGGCAGGTCCAATCATGTTTTTTGTGCTGCTTTTTGGAATGACAGGTTAGTAATTGTATTTATGTTCCTTTAATCCATTTTATGGTGTGTTTATTTTTGCCTAAGTGATCACTCAAAGTTTTTGGATCAGAAATAAAATCTTGCAATCTTGGAAAACATAATTTTCTGCTTTGCATTTTATTTATTTGTGTTTTTTTCATGTATAGGTGTGACTGCTCAGGTTGTCAGTAAGTTTGTGTCTTCTCAAAACCTTCTCTAAAGATTTGACTTTCATCGGTTTATCCTCAATTTATATCACATTTACACATACATAGGAGTAAAAACTGAAAGCCTGCGATGAATATGTTTTATATTTATGTTTGCAGAATATTAACCATATAGGCCTTTTCTGTCTTTTTCATGGTCTACCTAATTGCTTCTTAGGACCTCTTTACCCAACATCTGGAACTGCAAGCTCTGCGATAGATGATGGAAGTTCTCCAAAGATTACCCTGCTAAGACCTTTTTTCTATTTTGGGAGGACATATAACAGCATTTACGTATGTAAAATTAACAGTAACAATTCATTTACTACATTTGTACCATAAAAATATTTAGCTGTCTAATTAAACTTCCTGCCACTAATTACAATATAAAACCTGGTTTGCAAAACAAAATCTGAATCTGTTTATCTAGATGTTGTGACAGGAAATATTCTTTTCTTTTCAATTTTTTTTTAGGTCAATCATAATGGACACCTAACATTTACTGGTCCACTAAGTGAATTTATAAGTCAGAGGTTCCCACAACGTATTTGCAAGAATGTTTTTATTTTCCCTTTTTTTTTCAGGTCAATCACAATGGACACCTGACCTTTGACGCACCATGGTATAGCTATGTACCCCAACTGATTCCAATGCATGGATTAAGAGACATCATCGCTCCATTCTGGACAGATTTAGACAACAGAGGAAATGGTCAGATCTACTACAATCAATACACCAGTGGCAGTGTTCTCCAGCAAGCTACACGGGACATCAATCAATACTTTCCAGGACTGAACTTTAATGCCAACTGGGTCTTTGTTGCAACTTGGTTTGAGGTGGCCTATTATCCCACAAGCGGAACAGTAAGTCAGCTTCCAAAATTTGGAATTAAATTATGTGCTTATGTGTGATGTGTATGTGAAAGTCTGTTGCCTACTAACTCAGGAACAGTAGGTTAGTGTAATCTAGTGTCATCTTCCAGACATAAAGACATGAATTCCTGTGACAGATTTCATACAAAGATTATTTTTCAATATTGTGCTTTTTTTTATAAAAAAAGTGATACCTGAAGATTACCTAAAGCATTTCATATTAAGAAACTAAGGTGGTTAATAGTAATTATCTGAAATCTAGACCATTGAAACTGAAGCACAAATTATGAATTAATACATTTGATACGGTGATACATGAAAAGTGTATCATAACAAAATTAGGTGTAAATCCAGCAGAACACTGATCAAACAGAACATATAATAACTGAATTCATATTTTCCAGCGCACTACTGTCCAAGCTGTGCTGATCTCTGGAGGCCAATATTCATTTGTGCTGATGAACTACGGTATAATAGCCTCAACAACACTGAGAATTCAGGTCAGACCTACTATAGTCAATGCTCTGCATAGTCACTAATGAAAAAACATTCATTATTTCTAAATGCATTAATCATATTCTTGTGACTCACATTTGTAGGCTGGTTATGATACAATTGGCTCCACTCACTATTATGTCCTCCCTGGATCATTCACCAGTGCTGCATCAGGGAGTAACTCAAATTTTCGCCTTAGCAGCAACGTCAATGAACCAGGTCGCTGGGCCTTCCGGACAGACCATGGATCAACAGGCTGCACTTTTAATGGTAAGACCGCAGGATACAGAAGGCAACTGCTTCTGCAGCCTTTATGTTAGAAATCATTACAGTCATGTGCAACTGTAAAAGGCAAGGCAACAATTCTAACCACAATGCATTCAGGTGCAATGAGGTTGAGGTTATTAACATCAAAGTCTCTGACTGTTTTTCCCTAATGTTGTTGCAATCAATAATTCATGAAGGAATTTCAAAGAGAAATCAGCTTTGAAATTATTAGTTGGAGGCTAAAAAACATTCTTTTTACCTGCTTAAAGGATGTTTAGCCCATGAATTCCGAGGTTTTGAAAGATTTTCAATGGCAACATATGGCAAGCAAAGAATAAAGAATGCTAGAGAGAGAAGCCATTCCCAACAAAGTGACTTATCCTAAGGCAGACCTACCCAAAGTGTGGGACCCGCCCCCTAGGGGGGGGCGTAGAGCCATTGCAGGGGGGGGGCAGTGTTGCCAACTTAGCGACTTTGTCGCTATATTTATATATATAGTTTTCAGACCCCTTAGCGACTTTTTTTCTAAAAAAAGTTGCTAAAAAAAGACGTGAAAGCGCTTATCGCTTTTACTCTCAAAAAGCAGCGGGTGCTGTAACGCAGTCAGTTCTTCTTTTACTCTTTTACTCTTATGCTGTTTTGTGGATCACAAGGTTTAAAACTACTTATAAACACACACACA